CTGCACCCGCCTGAGTGCCTTGGCTGGTGCGTGCACTGCCCCGGCGAGGATGCGGCTGTTCCGGTGGCTGCTGAAGCAGCCGGTGCCCAAGCAGATTGAGCGCTACTCCCGCTTCTCCCCGTCGCCGCTCTCCATCAAGCAGTTCCTGGACTTCGGGAGAGACAATGCGTGTGAAAAAACGTCATACAGGTTTCTACGGAAGGAGCTTCCTGTGCGCCTGGCTAACTCCATGAGAGAAGTTAATCTTCTGCCGGATAATTTGCTTACCCGCCCGTCAGTGGGATTGGTCCAGAGTTGGTATATGCAGAGCTTCCTTGAACTTTTGGAGTATGAAAATAAGAGCCCTGAGGACCCAAAGGTCTTAGATAACTTTCTACAGGTTCTTATTCAAGTCAGAAATAGACACAACGATGTGGTTCCTACAATGGCACAAGGAGTGATTGAATACAAGGAGAAGTTTGGGTTTGATCCGTTCACTAGCAGTAACATCCAGTATTTCCTGGATCGCTTCTATACCAACCGCATCTCCTTCCGCATGCTTATCAACCAGCACACGCTTCTGTTTGGTGGTGACACAAATCCTGCTCATCCCAAACACATCGGAAGTATCGATCCCACCTGCAACGTGGCCGATGTCGTGAAAGATGCCTATGAAACCGCCAAGATGTTATGTGAACAGTATTACATGGTAGCCCCTGAGTTGGAAGTTGAAGAATTCAATGCCAAAGCTCCAGGCAAACCTATTCAGGTAGTTTATGTGCCCTCCCATCTGTTTCACATGCTATTTGAGTTGTTCAAGAACTCGATGAGAGCAACCATTGAACTCTATGAAGACAGAAAAGAGGCCTACCCAGCGGTTAAAACCCTTGTTACTCTGGGTAAAGAAGACTTGTCCATTAAGATCAGCGACCTAGGTGGTGGCGTCCCCCTTCGAAAAATAGATCGTCTCTTTAACTACATGTATTCCACTGCTCCTAGACCAAGCCTGGAGCCTTCAAGAGCTGCCCCTCTGGCTGGATTTGGTTATGGCTTGCCAATTTCTCGTCTGTATGCTAGATATTTCCAAGGAGATCTAAAACTCTACTCTATGGAAGGAGTGGGTACGGATGCTGTAATTAATCTGAAGGCTCTTTCAAGTGAATCATTCGAGAGGCTTCCCATATTCAATAAGTCAGCATGGCGCCGTTACAAGGCCACACCTGGAGCCAATGATTGGAGCAATCCCAGCAGAGAGCCCAGAGACGCTTCTAAATAAAAGGCAAAACAGTAATAAATTACTTCGTTTTCTTTAAAAAAAAAAAGTCCTAAAGAGGGGAGAGGTAGGAGAAATTAAATAGTTGTTGATTGGGCCAAAGCTGTAAAGTCTGAATGATGCAATGAAGACAGATAACAAGATAGAAGAATCAGGGGATTTAGTGGCCCAGAGGATTAAAGCACATCAGAATTTGGTTTAAGACGCTGGTCAACATAATTGGTGAATGATAAGTCTTGCTAGCATCCCCTTCACTTGGTTCATGGCAGTGTAAAAGCCCCATGCACACAGTATACAATAATCGGACAATAAATAGGTTCATGGCAGCTGCTGCTCAGGAGCAAATTGAGGGAGAACAGATTGCAGTGAAGTAAGAGATGTGGGATTCTGGGAATTCTGGTGACTGCAGGAGGTTTGAAACTTTTCTACAAAAGGTCAAGGCATTATATTTTAACTCTGGGAGTGTTCTCTTTCCTCAGATTGAATTTATTAACGAAATTCGTTCTGTGGGTTATGGGGTAAAGTCCGAGTTCTTCTACTTCATATTTGAAGAGATGACCAAGACAGAATATGGAATGTTCATGTATCCTGAAGAGGGTTCCTACATGTGGTTTCCTATCAGTGTAAGTCTCTTATTTATTTTCTTATTCTTTTTTCAGAACAGAAAAATTATGCCATCTATTACAACATGAGAACCATACATAATCATGTAAAATTAGGTCCTGGACAATGGGGCTGAGTTGGTTGGAGTATCGTCTATGCACTGGAAGGTCATGGATTTGATTCTCAGTCAGGGGCCATACGTAGGTTGTGGGTGCCAGCCAAGTTGAGGCATGGTCAGGCATGTATGGGAGGCAACCCAATCCATGTTATCTCTTTCACATTGATGTCTCTCCCTCCTTTTCTCCCTCTCTAAAATCAATTTTTAAAATGACACTATTTTAAGTAAATAAATAACGTAAAATTAGGTCATATAGAGCCTTGCTACTCAAAATATGGTCCACAGAGCAGCCGCTCCAACAACACCTGTGAAAAGCAGAATCTCAGGCCTGTGTATTTCATAAGATCGTCAAGTAATTCATACGCACTTTATATTTTTAAACACCTTTAATGAAGTACACTTGAGATACAATAAACAGCACATAGATTTTTCCAATTTGATAAGTTTTGATATACATATATACCAATGAAACTCTCACCATCATCAAGATAATGAAAATAGCCTGGCCAACATGGCTCAGTGGTTGAGTGTTGACCTATGAACCAGGAGGTCACAGTTCGATTCCCAGTCAGGGCACATGTCCAGGTTGCAAACAATCCCCAGTATGGGGCGTGCAGGAGGCAGCAGATCAATGATTCTCTCTCCTCATTGATGTTTTATCTCTCTCTCCCTCTCCCTTCCTCTCTGAAATCAATAAAAATATATTTTTAAAAAGATAATGAACCTACACATCATCCCCCAAAGTTTTCTCGTATCCCTTTCGAGCCCTACTCCTTCCCTGCTGCTATGCCTCTGGTGCCCCCTATTCCATGCCCAGGCAACAACTGGCACTATAGAGTACTTTGTATTTCCTAGAATTTTACAGAAATGGAATCATAAGTAATCTTGGTGTCTGTCCTCTTTCACTCAGCATAATTATGTTGAGAGTCATGCATGTTGTTGAATGTTACCAAACCTCATTCCCTTTTGTTGAGTAGTATTCCATTGTATGGATGTACTACATGTTGCTTATCTACTCACTTCTGATGGATATTTGTGTGGTTTCCTAGATTTTGAGATGCAGTAATCTAGAATGTTTCTATAAGAAGAGAAATTATTAATATAATCCTAGAGATAATTGCTAATTCTAATAAGGCAGTTCATTTCTGCAATGATTATACTTTTACAAGGATCCTCAAAATGTAAACATTTCTTAAAATAACAAAAAACTTGTCTTCATTTCTCTATTAGAAACACAGAGAAAATAATTCTAAAAAGAATCATGTTGAGCCTCAATTTATGGATCCCCTTTCTGATAAATTTCCCAAGTGTTCTTTCCATAGTACAAGTTTGGGACCCAGGGGACAGGGAAAAGGAAGAGAAAGATGAATGGGTGTGCAAAAGTACTGAGAAGTGATCTGTATCTTTTTGAGAAAGAATGAACTTCTAGAAAATAGAAATGGCTAAGGTGTACAAATGGTAGGATTTTTATGGGTCAAACAACAAGCATTTATTGACTATTTCGTGAGATTCCATATTGTATTAAATATTGTGAGTGATTCAAATTAGTATACGACACAATCCTTTTCCTCTTTTGGTATTTGTAGATAGAGTGATTAGACTAAAACACCATGAACTTTAGCAATTGTTTCTGAATTTTGGATTGCTGACTTTATGTGTAATAGTTGTTGAGCACAGAAGCGTAGGGAAGGATACACTGATGTAGAATTGGAAGCCCAGATTTGTAATCTCGAGTGATGGTGGGTGAGTCTTTTAGCTTCTCTGAGTTTTCGGTTTCCTCGCCTATAAAATGGCTGTCATAATTTCTGCTCTGCCTGCTTTTCAGGACTGTTGTGAGAATAAAACAAGACAAGGGATATAATCAAGTGTGGAAGCGCCAGGAAAACTTTAGGGCACTATCCAAATTTTAGGGATTCTTTATTAGAGAGAAAGCAATCAAGGGGAACTAAAGTAATTGGAGAAAGTGTAATGGAAAAGTGGAGCCCTGAGGTTGATGTTGAAGGATAGGGACATAATGGATCAAAGAGATGCAAGCAAGGGATGTACTGTTGACCCTTGAACAACCTGGGGTTTAGGGGTGCTGATCCCTTTCTTCCACACACAATGGAAAGTCTGTGTTTAACTTTTGACTCTCCAAACATAACTAATAACATAATGCTGACCCCTTATATCAACTCCGTGAGGTAGATAGTTTGTCCCCATTTTACAGATCAATAAACAGGTTCAGAGAGATTAAATAAGCTACAGACATTGAACTAGCAAGCGACTAAGCTGGAATATGGATTCAGGACTAGAAAAAGCCATTACTCTCTTTTTTAATAATATATTTTGTATTGATTTCAGAGAGGAAGGGAGAGGAATAGAGAGATAGAAACATCAATGATGAGAGAGAATCATTGATCAGCTGCCTCCTGCATGCCTCCTACTGGGGATGGAGCCTGAAACCCAGGCATGTGCCCTGACCAGGAATCGAACTATGACCTTCTGGTTCATAGGTGGACACTCAACCACTGAGCAACACCAGCCAGGCCAAACCCCTTACTCTTAAGCATTGTGTTATACTGCTGGATAGAAAACAAACAAAAGTCTGATTCATGTATGGCTCCGTGAGGAGACTAAATCAACTAGGACCAGGGGACCCATTACAGATACAGGAACTAAAAACTGAACAGGTTAGAGGAGGCCACCTTTGAAGCATACTTGTATTTTTAACTCATTTTCAAAAATCAAAGACATTTTAACATTTATCCTCACAATTACTCTAAGAAGAAATTGGACAAGTAGATGGTGGCCCAGAGTCATGCACCTACTAACAGCAAGGCTGTTGCTGGAATAGAAATCTTTTTCTTTTTTTTTAATTTTTTTTAATTAAATCTTTATTGTTCAGATTATTACATTTGTTCCTCTTTTTTTCCCCCCATAACTCCCCTCCTTCCAGTTCCCACCCCACCCTCCACCCTCACTCCCCACCCACTGACCTCATGCATAGGTGCACGATTTTTGTCCAGTCTCTTCCCGCATCTCCCACACCTCTTTCCCCCCCAAGAATAGTCAGTCCATTCCCTTTCTATGTCCCTGATTCTATTATAATCAACAGTTCATTCTGTTCATCAGATTACTTATTCACTTGATTCTTACATTCACTCGTTGATAGATGCATGTTTGTTGTTCATAATTTGTATCTTTACCTTTTTCTTCTTCTTCCTCTTCTTAAAGGATACCTTTCAGCATTTCATATAATACTGGTTTGGTGGTGATGAACTCCTTTAGCTTTTCCTTATCTGTGAAGCTCTTTATCTGACCTTCAATTCTGAATGATAGCTTTGCTGGATAAAGTAATCTTGGTTGTAGGTTCTTGCTATTCATCACTTTGAATATTTCTTGCCACTCCCTTCTGGCCTGCAAAGTTTCTGTTGAGAAATCAGCTGACAGTCGTATGGGTACTCCCTTATAGGTAACTGACTTTTTTTCTCTTGCTGCTTTTAAGATTCTCTCTTTGTCTTTTGCTCTTGGCATTTTAATTATGATGTGTCTTGGTGTGGTCCTCTTTGGATTCCTTTTGTTTGGGGTTCTCTGCACTTCCTGGACTTGGAAGTCTATTTCTTTCACCAGGTAGGGGAAGTTTTCTGTCATTATTTCTTCAAATAGGTTTTCAATATCTTGCCCTCTCTCTTCTTCTGGTACCCCTATAATTCTGATGTTGGTACGCTTGAAGTTGTCCCAGAGGCTCCTTACACTATCTTCGTATTTTTGGATTCTTTTTTCATTTTGCTTTTCCGGTTGGGTGTTTTTTGCTTCTTCGTATTTCAAATCTTTGACTTGATTCTTGCGATCCTCTGGTCTGCTGTTGGGAGTCTGTATAATATTCTTTATTTCAGTCAGTGTATGCTTAATTTCTAGTTGGTCCTTTATCACAACATCGAGGGTCTCACTAGATTTCTTAAGGATCTCAATACATTTATCGGCGGTTTCCATAAAATTCTTGAAAAATCTTAGAACCGTGGTTTTGAACTCTATATCCAGTCGTTTGCTGTCCTCCATTTCTGTCATTTGTGACCTGTTTCTTTGTCTTCGCATTTTGTCTGCTTCCCTGTGTTGGTAGAGTGGTTTTGTGTGCTAGGTGTCCTACAGGGCCCAGTGGCTCAGCCTCCCCAGTTACCTGAGGTGGACACTCTTGGTGCACCCCCTTTCCTTCCACTCACCTTCCCTGACCCGTATGCTGGTCCCTGTAAGGACACCTTGGTTGAGAGTTATATTGCCGAAGGGACACCACTCGTCTGACACACACCTGGCATGCCTGATGCCTGCTCAAAGTGTAGATCAAGTTCACCCTTTCTTCCACAGTGTTGTTTTTCTACATGAGTTTGAAGGCAAAGACTGTAAACTTAAACATTGAAAACCTTAGTTTATAAGGCTATCTGAGCATATTTTTTAATATTGTAGATATGCTGTTACGAACAAAAAATAAATTCATTTCTTTAATCTTGTGAACTCTTAATTTGTATTTTAACTTATGGAAGAATTTTGAACTGTAATAAAGCCAGAGTAAGAACCTCAAATATTTATTTTTTTGCTAATCTAATTTTTCAGTGATTTTTGATTATTTATAATACATTATGGCTGGGTGTGGTTTTTTTTTCCTTCTTCATTTCTAGCCTAAATTTGTGAAGAAGAGATATTTCCTCTTTGGGATGCTGTGTGGACTCTCCCTGTACCATTTAAATGTTGCCGATATTCCTTTCCCACTGGCTCTGTTTAAGAAACTTCTGGACCAAAAGCCATCATTGGAAGATTTAAAAGAACTCAGTCCCCTTTTGGGAAAGTAAGTAAATGTTTTTCCAGGACTTTATCTACTAAGTCTTAGTTGTCTCGGCATAAATGATGTTCCACACAGAGACACAGACACACAAAAGGCCTTCAGTTTCAATAAATGTATGCTCTTTAGATGAATTTGAATTTTAGCATGACTTACAGTCAAGTAAACCTTCAAAAATGGAAAAAGGCCAAATGTTCCTCGAATTATGACCAGTATAATAAACAATGCCAGATGTCTTCAGTTTATCCGGATGAAAACAGTTGCTTTAGACAGTACACAGTATTCTTAATGCGAATCATACCTACTATATTTATTTTGAATAAATTGTATTTAATCATATCTACTTTATTTAAATAAATCAGATGTCATCAACTTTATTTTTAAGGGTTGAAAAATGCTTGTTCTAAGTTAAAAGGCAAACTATATCCTATGAGGAAAATACTGGCAACATATAATAGACAAAGGATTAGTACAGTATCTCTGATGTATAAATATGCAGAGATGGGCAAAAGTAGGTTAAATTACCAGCCATCATTATCTTAAAGATAAATCATAAGTAAGGATACAAAATAATAACATTAAGACAATAATTAATAAACTCCATATTTCACGTACTTACAACTGTCAACCTACTTTTGCCAACCCCGGTACTGTATATGTGTCATCACACATATGTATATATATGGTTAATCAAGAAATGAAAATATGCTCAACCTTACTAGTAATTGAGGAAATACAGATGAAATGTCATTTTTTGCTTTATAGATTGACAACTATCAAAAGGTTTTTCATAAAATACAGAGTTGACAGCCAGATTGGGGAAAAGGATTTTCCTCTCATGTACTGTTAGTGGAAGAACACACTGACTAGATTTATACTCTATGCCCTGTATTGTCAATGTAGAGGAGGGGTTGAGAAACGCCTGGCATTTTTGTCTGGATAATCCTTTATTGTGGAAGGCTGTCCTGGGTATTGTAGGATGTTGAGTTGCATATGGGCTCACTTAACCCACTAGATGTCAATAGGAACCCTCCTCTAATTGCTTTTTTGTTTTGTTTTGTAACCCTCCTCTAATTATGACAACCAAAGATATCTCAAGATTTTTCCAAATATCCACTCGGGGTCGGGGGGCAAAATCACCCTGGTTGAGAATCACTGGTCTAGAGGAAGGGACTTTTTATTGTAATTTCTACCAAGACACAGCAGTGTCCGTGTTAGCAGTGGTTCAAGCAATCCAAACTGTAAGTAGAGGTTAACTCTAGAAAGAGAGAGTGGGATGGTGCAGGAGAGGAAATTTACATGGCATTTTATACATTTCTGTAGTGCCCCCAATTTTTCCATTTAACATTTATTACATTTGAAATGTTATAAGATCAATAAATAAAAATTTTAAACCAACTATTTCATTAGGAATTTGCAAGAAGTTCTAAATTATGAGGCTGATGACATTGGAGAAGCACTTTGCATATATTTTTCTGTGAGTACTGTCAACCCATGGTTATTGGCACCAATTCAGTGCCAACAGGAATTCCCGATTTGGTCTGCAATGAAGGGAACTATTCAGTGCAAATCAGCTCAATTGATACAGCACAGCTGTGAAAACAGCATGGCTTTGAGGCAGCCCTGGGGTCAGGCCCCTCTCTGCTAGACAGCTCTGCTCTGCTCTCCTCTCCTCCTCACTCCTGTGCTCTGCTCTGCTCTGCTCCTTGCGGGTCTGCTTTGGGCTGGGCTACTCTGCTTTGCTCCACCCTGGTCTGCTCCATTCTGTGCAGTCTGCTTTTGTCTGTGCTGGTCTGCTGCGCTCTGCCCCAGTGAGACATCTTTGGTGTTCAGCTCAGTGTGGGAAACATAGTCCTGTCTTTAGTGGAAAGGCAAAGTGCACTCCCCCAGCCAGAGAGGAGCTGGCTTATATAGACACAAGTCCCCAACCCTGGTCCCTGATTGATCCACCCTCATGCAAATGAGGACTCCATATGCTCACAGTTTGCTTGGTCCAAAAGGCATTGCCCTGATTGGTCCGTGAAGATGTTGATGGGGATATAGTTGTGCAACTCCTATTGGATGGAGAAAGCCTCAATCCTTTTGGATAAAATAGGATTCCAGGAAGTCCTTTAGAAGGGCTGGCTCAGATGGCAGAAACACAGTGTAAGCAGGTAGTTCAGTGCAACCTTCTCCCTTAAGTGAAGTTTTCATGACGGGTCCCTATGTAGAAACAGCTGCTAGGCTGTTATTGTTTTTAATTTAGCCACAAGGAGCCCTTCTTAGTAGGCATCTTCTTTCTCAGGGTTCACAGTACTAGTGAACAACAAATTATGTTTTAGCTTTAATCTTTATAAAAAACTAGAGGCCCAGTGCACAAAAATTTGTGCACTGGGGGGGGAAGGGGGGGTCCCTCAGCCCGGCCTGTGCCCTCTCGCAGTCTGGGACCCCTCAGGAGATAACACCCTGCTGGCT